AAATTTAAATCATAAATTTAAATCATAAATTTATATAATATATAATTAAAATATGATCAAAATATAATTAAAGAGAAATATTATCATACCTCATAATATTGTTTCAAAATTTTACGTAAGAACTTGTGTTCAGTGTGATGTATCGTTTTAATGATGAAACGATAATCCCTAGAATAATAAAAGAAGCTTCCACTTTTGCCAGGAGAATTCAGCTCTGACAAAATATATTTGCTCGTTAAAGAAACCAAATAATCTGCAGCGTCAATGTGAAAAAATTCACGAAGACGACGAAAGACCCAAGGTGCATAATCTTTGAATTTGAAATCATATTTTGCGGATGGAGTGAGTTCGTTACCCGTTCTACAAGACAAAACATTTTAATAAACACAAGCCATAATCTACTAGGAGCTGGTCTCTTTTAATATAATAAGATAACATACATATCAAAAGCTAATTTATGAGCAGCTTTGAAATCAATATCAGTTAATTCCCTTTCAAGTTTGGCATTACAACGTGAAACCTATAAGAAATAATAATATTATTAATAGTAATAATAATAATATTAATAATATTAATAATAATATTAATAATAATAATATTATTAATAATATTAATATTAAGATGATTAATATTATTAATAATAATAATATTAAGATGATTAATATTATTAATAATATTATTATTATTAATAATATTAATATTAAGATGATTAATATAAAGATGATTAATATTAATATAAAGATGATTAATATTATTAATATTATCGATGTTATTGATATTAATATTAAGATGATTAATATTAATATAAAGATGATTAATATTATTAATATTATTGATGTTATTGATATTATTATTAACGAAAATTTAAAACATTAAAAAAAGAACATCAGATTTAAATAATAAAAAAAACATACACCAACTCTTATTCCTGTTAGCATGTTATACATTAAAACGTAATTGACATGACCTTCACTTATTCTTGTTCCAATCATTGGACCTTCTTCATCGTCACCTTTGCCCTTTTCACGAGTTCTTCTTTTTGATAGTCGTCGTTTGACATTCTCGGCCCATTTTTGAGTTTCCTTGTCTAACACAATTTCCACACTCTGACTCTCAGAGCTATAAGTGTTGCGACGTTTGATCATTCCACTCTTACGATTTCGTCCAGAAGCTTCTTCTTGAGAATCATTCTCAGAAGTAATCAGCAATGACCTTTTGGGTTTCCCTGCAGTTGTTGCAGATCGCTGAGGTGGTTTATCATTTTGTTCATCAGCCAATGCGCCAGTGCTAATTGGCCTTCGTTTCGTAGGAGAATGCGGGATAGATGTAGTAAAACTTCGACCAATTGATACTTTAGAAGAGTTATTATCATTGATTAGTGGCTCAATAACATTTGTTGGAGGAGAGTGTCGCCGTTCGACGGACTGTGTATATTTTTCAGACTTTTTTTTCCACAATAGAGTCGTTAACACCTTTAAAATCCGACCAAAATAAATGCTGTGAATATAAATATACGAAGCTAACAAGATTGACCTAAAACAAATACAAATATACATACCTATACTGTGCTTTTGAGCAAGATTTTCATTAGGTGAAGAAGCCACCATCATAGTTACAACAGAGTTTTGTTTAAAAACTAACTATGCCTCTATTAAAAATTTAAGGTATAAAGATTGCCACAGAGACTGAAATAAGTAGTTGGTCGAGGTTTCCCTATTTTTTAATCAAAAGGTAAGAATGGGAAGCGAGAAGTTAGATGAATATCTACAGAAAAAAGCTAGTATAGATCTCCAAGTTACTCGGACCATAAAAAGACATACCGGCTTCTGAATAAATAAATAAATAAAAAAAATGGAAATTTAAAAGGGCTCGAGCCTTTTTCAACAGAAATTGCGTTTGTAAGAAGGTGAAATAATGAGGAAAAGATCAAGATAAATATATAAAAGGTAAATTAGGTGATTTTTGGTTGGTGTCATGGTAAATGTTCTTGTATAAATATAGTAACAAATTTTAAATGTGCATATGACTTGACAAATAACATCTTACATTAAGTCATTGTACTAATCATGTGACCATTAATAAAATGTAATTTTAGCGTTATAAGGAGAGTTAGGGAGTAATAAAAATAGTAATACGTACAAGTGTTTATTTACATATAGATATTACGACATTAACTTTCTTTTATCTTTATCGATATCATACAAAATTATTAGTAAAAAATATATACATAGAATAATTAACGCTAAGTGTATAAATAATATAATATAATTTAGAATTATATAATATCAGATATGTAATTTATTGCTATATATATATATATTGAAATATGATTAATGATACGTATATAATTATGCTACTTTTTTATTATGTACATAAATATCGTATGTACACATGTTTACAGTGCATTTTTTCCAGTTACTGAGTTTCTGTAGATATGCTACTGTAGGAGACATCACGTTACACTTTACCTGTGAATCATGCGAATCGTGCAAATCGTCTTAGCGTTAACATTATTCCCGTGACGAAACACAGAATAATTTGAATATATGGATAAGTTTTTGGCTGACATGTCATCATTGCGAATATCCACACCAGAGTTCGCACATATTTAGTAAGTGATATTAAATTATTGTTAAAAGGCGTTAATTCGAGAATAGGGCAAAGTTTTGTCAAGATTGTTGTGTAATCATATAATGAAATTGAAGAAAAAGCATCTAACCCATCTAACCATGAATCAAACTTGAAGAAAGTAATGTCTGTAGCTTTATGACTCTTGAACCAGTGATGATAACAGTGATGATAACAGTGATGATAACAATGATGATAACAATGATGATAACAGTGATGATAACAATGATGATAACAGTGATGAT